TCTGGAGATGAACAGTGCGGCAGGAAGAGGTTCAGGACTGCCGGCTGTTGAAATACAGTCTGCATTTATTTTATATCAGCCTATTTTGGGCCCCAGTGAGAAAGTTATTTTAATATCTTGCTCTGCTAGAAATATACATGGTAAGTGGCAGATGTCAAAAAAAGAGGGGGATAAAGTTACAGCACTCCATTCTCCTTGAGACTTACAGAGTTTATATAGTTGTTCTCTTTTTAGCCTTTGAAATAAACACTGATGCATACAGAAGCAGGATGTTAGGCATAGCCTACATCAGTGACCCTCAAATGACTCAGAATTCAGGGCTAGGGTATTGAGGACCTGCATTTTCAACAGGTTGCCCAGGTGATTCTGATACAGCCAGGACAGTGCTTGGGAACACCTGGTCTGACCCAGTACACTTATTTTACAAATAAGAAAATGAAAATCCATGTAAAAATTTAAAATTACTTGAGGTGTTATCCTAGTATGGACCTGAAACCGTATTTTCTGGCTCCCAGCATATCCATTTCCCAGGAGGTCACAGTGCCCCTTAAAGTGGTCACAGTTAAGAGCTTAGGCCACCAGTTTCCCTCCATAGACAGGGCCTGCTTACCAGTTGAGGTTTGGCGGTGCACATTTGAAATCTGAGGTCTCATGACCTCCATTAGGGCTCTTTTCTTTTCAGTCACTGTTGTCAAGGTTGAAACTCTTAATTACTCTAAACCGCTGCATCTATGAGAAGCTTGGTAGATTATTTTTCTCTGTTGTTTTCTTTTGTTGAGTTTCACAAATTTCTTGAATTTATTTTTTATAGATTTCCATCTTCAGCTTACTTCTAAATAGAAGTTGAGTAATAAAATCAAAATACAGTATTGTTCAATATGAGTAAAAATTATTTTTAAGACACCAGATATTGACTCCCCATTAACTGTATACTGGCTGAATCTAAACACCCAGCTTTCCTAGAAGTAGGAATGATATGAACTTTGTTCTGTAAGTCTCCTGAATAAACAGTATATAACCAGCACTTATTAAGAAGAAGCATTTATCCGTTTATTCACTCTTTCACCAGATACTGACCATCTCCTATCTATAGGCACTGTTCTAGACATGGAATACAGTTATGATCAGGAGAGAAAATGTCCATATTCTCAAGGAGCTTAAGTTCTAGAGGGAGATTGTATGTGAAAATAAGATTATACAACCCCCTAGAGGAAGAGATATTTATTTGTTCTGTTCCTTGCTGTGTCTCTGGTGGCAGAGCAATATCTAATACCCATCAGGTACACAGTGGACAAGTATTGAATGAATGAGCACCATCAGATGAAACAGAAACCATGGCCCTTCCCAAACTAACTGTTTTATAAGCTGAAAGAATTGGTAACATTCCATAAGAAATGTTATTTATGTACAGGATTAAACCATGTGCATTTGTTTCTAATTTGCTGTATTTTATAAGCTCTAAAAGCTTTTTGTGAAAAAAAAAAAATTTTTATATCAGAGTGTACTTTCAGGTGTGTGTCTGGCATACATGGATATTAACTCACATAGCAGCTGGAAATATATATTATATACCTATAAAGATCTAATTATTTATAGTATTTTATTTTATAAAATAAATGATACTTTTATGTACAAGCTAAAGCAGTCAGGGATGAAATGGTCTTCACAAGACTTGAATGTTTGTTGTGACAAAATAAAAAGGACATTCAGGTGAGCAGCATTATCAGCAGTTACAGTTTGTTCGGGTTGTGTTGGCTGTGGCTGTCATGCTGTCATTGTATGTAGGGTTCTAGTCTCTCAGCTTTCAAAACATTTAAGAGCTGATGTTAAATAGGGATTTACATAACATGGTGTTTCTTTGCCATCATTCCCAGCAAAGGATATCTCCACCATGTAAAAGGTGGTAGCCAAGCTAGGAATACAAAATAAAATGAGAAGGTTTGAAAATAGCTATGATTCTATTAAAAAAAGAAAAAAAAAAAAAGGGTGGGGGTTAGCTTCACCAGTGGCTCAGCAGTAAGGAATCCACCTGCCACCCAAGAGCCGCAGGAGAAATGGGTTTTGTCCTAGGATCAGGAAGATCCCCCTGGACGAGGGCATGGCAGCCCACTCCGGTGTTCTTGCCTGGAGGATCCCATGGACAGAGGGGCCCAGCAGGCTGCAGACCTTAAGCTGCAAAGGTTGGCCACCACTGAAGCGACTTCGCTGGTAGGATGGAGGTGGGGGCCTAGCACGCATGTGATTCTATAAAAATGTTGAATCCTGTACACTTGAAACTGAAATAATATTGTAAATCAACTCTTCAATTTTTTTTAAAAAAAGGAAAATAGCTTGTGGCTGATTAAAGCACAAGTACTTCAAAATAATAGAATTCTCTAAGATGATTAGTTTATAAGCAAGGTATGTGATGAGACTAGTCTAGATGTCTTTATCTGTAAATAGCATTATAGTCACTATTACTATCTGAAGAAACTGAATGTTTTTTTCTGGGACGATTGGGGAAATGGCTCAGTACCTCCAAAAGGAAAAGGCCACCTCCATCGTTGTAAATTATCGTTTCTCTGCACTTTACCCTGCAACATTAAGATATGAAAGGTACTCAACTTTCAAGCTTTCAACAGATACCACTTTCAACACTTCTCACATGCCCTTTATGTCAAACACTGTAAGATGAGAATGTTGAAAGTGCTAGAATGAAGAGGAGGGAGGTAGAACAGAAACATGACTGAAAGTAGTGAGGAAATGGCTGACACATTACAGAAATGAGTTGTTAGATAGTTTAATTCCATAGGGCTCCCAGTTTGTGCATTACTAGAAAAATGGTGTGCCTGAGAAACCCATGCAAGAGACAACCCTTGCCTGAGAAACCCGGCAAGAGACGAGGGAAAGGACGAGCAATTGAAAAGGTGGAAAACTGGTGGCCACAGAATCAGCCTCCATGTCAGATACCCCTTAACTCAAAGTGAATTTGAGAGACAGGTGAGAATTTGAGAACTTGAAGACTAAGCATATTGTGAAATGCTGCTGCTGAAGTTTTGGTCACAAGCCATGGATTATTCATGAGATCAAAGCCAGTTCATATTTGCATGATATCAAAGTGAGTAGCTAGGTCATGAGTGCACCATGCAGATGTTCTTGGGTTCCACACCACGCCTGCAGAAGTTACAGTGTTGGGAGAGAGATTTCAGTGTAGACAGACTTGTTTGTTTGTTTGTTTGTTTTTTGACAGAATTGTTTTAACTTGGGGAAAAGACAAGTCTGTCCCTGGACAGTAGATATAAAATACCCAAGCAGAGAGAATGAGCCTCATTTTAAAATATCTGCAAGAACCGACTCTTATTCCTGCTGGTATATTACATCTCAGGACTAAGTTCAAACCCTTCTTAGTTCACTGAAAATCTTAGATCCCAAAAACATCTTTGAAGAACAGATTGAAAACCACAAATTCTTTTTTACAGTACATAGGTTGCAGAGGCTCTTTGTTTCACTGAAATATTAAAACCGAGGTCCCAGTTTTAACTAAATCATTTGTGATGGTGTCAAAAGCTATACATGAGCAGTATCTTATTAGCAGTTGCTTTTCATGAAAATAAGAAAAACAAAATTAGGCCTCTTAGGATAAATTTTTTTAAGATTATGAAGAAGCAAAAAGATTTTAAACTAATGTTATAAAGATCTCATTCTCTCTCATGTAAGTAATCTGCCCACATTTAGCGTCATTATCTGTATAGTGTCATTTTGGACTCAGAAAAAACATGGTCTCAAGACCTAGCCTGTTTGTAAGTTGCAGGGCTCTGTTCCGTGCAGAGGTGCAGGAGTTTTGCTCTCAAGTCCACAGAAGATGAGCTAACCTGCCAGCAAAGACTAACACATTGGTTGTCTCTGTCATGTTCAGATGTCATAAATAACGCTTTTGAGTATATGTTTTAATTTCAAATTGCTTTTTAATAACTAAAAATATTAAAATTTTACCTTATATAGGATGTCTCCTCACCTCCAGCTTTCTTCCCTCTCCTCATCCCTGGTGACGGTGGGATGGAGGTGGGGGCCTTTTGCACAATACAACATGTTAAAAATTATGCCAAAGGGAGTGGGGGAAAAAATGAATCCACAGATTACTTACTAATTGTACAGAAAGAAATATGTCATTACAGTGAAACCATCTGATAGTCACCACTTAAACCCAGTGATCAAACTTATAGCATGACTGAGATACAGGAGAGCCTGACATTTAGTGCCTCCTGAATTGATGCAGTTGAAGTATATAATATTCCATAGAAGATTTTCTTCCAAAAAATGTTTAACCTAAATCTAAGCAAACTTCTTCAGACCCAACTTTCAGTTTGTAAGCAAATGACACAATGAAAAAAGTGATAATAATAAGAGAGAGACATTTTATACGACAGCTGCCGTGGTCTCCTCAAAAAGTCAGTTATTTCCATGAAAAAAGTTAATGATTTTTATTTTCATTTCTTAAAAAATGGGGAAGGGCTAGTCTAGATTTAAAAGGCAAAATAGAGATAAAAGCCAAATGCAGTGTGTGAGTCTTGATTAATTCTAGTTTGAGAAGAAAAGTTAAAATAAAATATATTCTTGGGACAACTGGAGAAATGTGAATATGGATTGTATATCAGATGGTATGGCATTATTGTTAGTTTTTTTTTTTTTCATTTGAAAGTGATCATGTATGACTTGTCCTGTGCTTACAAGATGTTTGCTGAGGCATAAAGGAATGAGAAGTCATGGTATCTGCCACTATCAAACCTAGAATATATAAGTGTGCTCGTGGTACTGATCTTTCAACTCTTCAATACGTTTGAGAGTTCTGTGTATATGTATATACATACATACATATGTATGTTTCACTACATACTGTGTAGAGATAGAAGAGGAAGTGGAGAAGGGGAAGAAAGTTGGCTTATTCTTTGAGAAGCAAAAGTTATAGAAATACTAAGTGACTTTAAAAGAACTAATTGATTTTCCCCTCTTTTCTATTTTAGGCTCAAGAGAAAGGAAGATTAGACTATGCTAAGGTAGGTAGATTTTGTGCATTCTACACAGTTTTATACATTTCTATTTGCTATTTGGTTTTTGTTTATATTTGAAAAGTCAAAAGAAAAGCATCACATTCAAAACTAAGGGACCTTCCCTGTGAAGTAACAGGCATTAACAGGTGAAATAGGATTCATTTAATGGTAAGTTTATTTAGTGAATGCCTACTTCTTTCCAGACACTGTGTTAGGCGTCAAGAATAGGAGAGTGAACCAGATCAGTTCTTTCATTCATGACATTTACAAGCTAGTTGAGGAGGTGATTAATAAACAATTAAATGGATACATAATATAATGTCAACTGGTGGTAAGTTCCATGAGGAAAAATCAACTGGGTAAGATCACTGACCATTGCTGGAAAGATGTCTTTGGACTATGGAAAAGAGCTTTTAGCATCATCAGGTAATACCTGGGAAGCACCATACAGGGCAGGTTTGGATTCCTAGAGGCAGTAGTTTTCACATAACCTGTGGAGCTTTTGAAAACATACATGCCTGGGTTACCACAGCATCATACCTCTTTCACCAACTTCACAATTCCCTGGTAGGCAGAGCAGGCCAGGGGCAGGATGGAAGGGTTTGAAAAAAAGGCTCCACAGATCGTTTTGACACATAGCCTTGTTCAAACACTGCTGTGGGATTTTGGATTTCAGCGCACCTGTGCAAGCCTTTGAACACACTTGGGTTTTCTCCTGAGGAACAAATGAAGTATTTTCGCAGGTGTGTGGGGTGCATACAGCTGCTTGAATAAAGGAACATGCTAACCATCTGGTTTTTACAACAGTCAAGCATAGCCAGAGCGTGAGCACACATGTACTCCAAAGACGAGGAGGACGAGATGGGACCTGAAAGAGCTGTGCTTGCGCTGGGACAGCTGGATCCCCCAGTGATCGCTCCAAGGCTGACCCAGAGCCTTGTGCTCTCTCGGCAGCCCTGAAGTGTACAACCATGGCTCCATGACTTTTCTTTGCCTGAAATGCGGTTCTTTCCTTCTCTGTCTCACAGACTTATGTGTGCTTCTAGAAAAATTAGATTAAGAGTGGTATCTCTATACTGAAGACTTCTGTGTCTGTCACTCTATCTTTGATGTCTGTGCTAAGTCGTTTCAGTCATATCCAACTGTTTGTGACCACATGGACTGTAGCCCGCCAGGCTCCTCTGTCCATGGGATTCTCCAGTCAAGAATATTGGAGTGGGTTGCCATTTCCTTCTTAGATGTCTACTTGAGCCTTATACATAAATGGTCTCCCACAGGCAGAGATGCTCAAAGCGTCTTAAACTAAACTCAACATCTTCCCAACATCTCTGGTCACCTCTTTTTTAGTACTTTATTTTTCAGAGCAGTTTTTAAGTTCATAGCAAAACTGAGCAAAAAGTATAGAAAGTTTGCATTACCCTCTGACACCACACAAGCATAGCCGTCCCCACTGTTAGCGTCCTGCAGCACATTGGAACATCTGTTATCATCAATAAACCTGCATTAATACATCTTTATAACCCAAAGTCCATCACTGACATTAGGGTCTAGTGTTAGTGTTATATCTCTGGTCCTTATTACTTGTTCTGTCTCCTGATGTTGTCTGTCATCCCACCAGTGAACCATGTGAGAAAATTAGAAGTCACTCTCAAATGCTCTTACCCCCTCACCCTTATGTTCCATGACCAAGTCATACCAGTTTTATTGCCTACATTTTCTTAAATCCAGTCCCTCCTCTTGATGCCTCTTCCATTGCTCACACTGCATCCTGCTTTGAACCACTAGAAAGCCTGTGACTGTTCTCTATGCCTCTGTTTTGTCCCCAAAGATCCATCACCAGCCAAAATGTCTATCTAAACCACAAGCCTGGCAGTTCCACACTGCATCTTAAAAGCCTTCCTTGGCCCTATGTTTTCTATAAGGCATATTCAAAGCTTACCACAATGGCATATAAAGCACTGTGATCTCGCTCCCTGGAGGCACTCTCCAGCTTCATGTCCTCCACGCTGTGCTCCAGTGGCACCAAATTACATTAAACATACTGTTTCTGTTCTCTGTGCCTTGACCCGAGCTGTCCCCTCTGCTTGGAATGCAGCAGTGTCCCCTTTATCTGGCTTCCCCTGCCTCTTCTGTAAGGCCTAATGTAGGATCGTCTCCAGGAGAAAGTCTGCCTGGGTCCCTGGGCTGGATGAGCTGCTTTCCTCCATTCTCTAGTCCACCATGCACCTCTCAGTCATTGCGCTTCACTCCATTGTTTATTATGACCATTTATGAGAAAGATCATAGGCTGTGAGCTCTTTGAGGGCTCAGATGGTAACTTATTTGTACACTCGGTGCCTAGCACAGTGCTTGGCCCTTGGCAAATGGTGAATGAGTGAGTGAGTGAGGTTGTAAGAAAATAGAAGACCCATGCAATTAGTTGCCGGAGAAATTCTGGTATATGGTTTTTTTTATTTCAATCACAGAGGAAAGGAAAGCTTTTGACACAAGCTGCAGGTATCAGCAGGGATAAGAAGATTGCTTGAGAAGGTTAATGAACTAACTTGGAGATAAATGCAGGGATTTCACTATGATAAAGGAAATAACTTATAAACAAAAAAATTAAGGGCAGTGACATCATGATTTGGCAATAGAGTGATTACTTATCATTGCTGCTTATTTATGACTCATAAAACTCTTTTAGGATTTCTTATTGCAGAAGCACCTGCCAGGAAAAGAGACTAGAAGAAAAGGAAAAAAAGAAAATGGAGACACAGATAGAACACTCTGAACCAAGCAATGGCTCTGTCACCAACTCACTGCAAAATCTGTTATCAGTCACTTAATCTTTTTGGTTTCCCCCCAGTTTCCTTAGTATGAGAGGAGCAGGTTACAGTATTTTCCAGCATTCTTGCCTGGAAAATCCCATAGATGGAGGATGGGTACAGTAGCTGGTGGGCTGGTAGGGTACTGTAGGAGGATGGGTACAGTAGCTGGTAGGCTGGTAGGGTACTGTAGGAGGATGGGTACAGTAGCTGGTGGGCTGGTAGGGTACTATAGGAGGATGGGTAGTAGCTAGTGGGCTGGTAGGGTACTGTAGGAGGATGGGTACAGTAGCTGGTGGGCTGGTAGGGTACTGTAGGAGGATGGGTATAGTAGCTGGTGGGCTGGTAGGGTACTGTAGGAGGATGGGTACAGTAGCTGGTGGGCTGGTAGGGTACTGTAGGAGGATGGGTACAGTAGCTGGTGGGCTGGTAGGGTACTGTAGGAGGATGGGTACAGTAGCTGGTGGGCTGGTAGGGTACTGTAGGAGGATGGGTACAGTAGCTGGTGGGCTGGTAGGGTACTGTAGGAGGATGGGTACAGTAGCTGGTGGGCTGGTAGGGTACTGTAGGAGGATGGGTACAGTAGCTGGTGGGCTGGTAGGGTACTGTAGGAGGATGGGTACAGTAGCTGGTGGGCTGGTAGGGTACTGTAGGAGGATGGGTACAGTAGCTGGTGGGCTGGTAGGGTACTGTAGGAGGATGGGTACAGTAGCTGGTGGGCTGGTAGGGTACTGTAGGAGGATGGGTACAGTAGCTGGTGGGCTGGTAGGGTACTGTAGGAGGATGGGTACAGTAGCTGGTGGGCTGGTAGGGTACTGTAGGAGGATGGGTACAGTAGCTGGTGGGCTGGTAGGGTACTGTAGGAGGATGGGTTCAGTAGCTGGTGGGCTGGTAGGGTACTGTAGGAGGATGGGTAAGTAGCTGGTGGGCTGGTAGGGTCCTGTAGGAGGATGGGTACAGTAGCTGGTGGGCTGGTAGGGTACTGTAGGAGGATGGGTACAGTAGCTGGTGGGCTGGTAGGGTACTGTAGGAGGATGGGTACAGTAGCTGGTGGGCTGGTAGGGTACTGTAGGAGGATGGGTTCAGTAGCTGGTGGGCTGGTAGGGTACTGTAGGAGGATGGGTACAGTAGCTGGTGGGCTGGTAGGGTACTGTAGGAGGATGGGTACAGTAGCTGGTGGGCTGGTAGGGTACTGTAGGAGGATGGGTACAGTAGCTGGTGGGCTGGTAGGGTACTGTAGGAGGATGGGTACAGTAGCTGGTGGGCTGGTAGGGTACTGTAGGAGGATGGGTACAGTAGCTGGTGGGCTGGTAGGGTACTGTAGGAGGATGGGTACAGTAGCTGGTGGGCTGGTAGGGTACTGTAGGAGGATGGGTACTGTAGCTGGTAGGATACAGTCCATAAGGTCACAAAGAGCTGGACACAACTGAGCAACTTCACCTTCTTTCTTTCAGTTTTCTTAGTATGAGAGGAGCAGGTTACAGTAGTGCTATTCTACTCTCCAGGCCCAAATTTGAGAGGAGACATTCTTTTGGGGTCGGGGGGGTGGGCAGAGGGAACATTCTTATCTTATATACTATTAAGGTCCAGATTCATTCCTTCATCTGCTTCATCCACCCAAGCATGGTGGATCTGATATTTAATATATGCAGCCAGACCTAACCTAGACCTTCTTATCAAAAGTCCCCCTTTGCTCTGTTTTTTTCCTCCTTAACATTTATCATAATCTACAATTATCATTTTTATTTAGTTCCCTGTGTTTTGTTTCTTTTTCCAGTAGACTAAGGCAAGACCTGAAGGCAGGGCCTTCAATGGCCTTGTCCATCATAGCATCGTCTGTGCCCAGCACAGGCTTACATGCAGGAGTGCTTGACAAATGTGTATGGACGAGGGCTGCATTAGTGAGATGTTAGAAGTGCAGGCAGCTCAGAGGTCTGGAACTGGGGATCACAGACTCAAATTAGCCAATACAGTCAGTATACTCTAGGACACTGTCCATCCCTATGTTCAGTACCCTCAGATTGCCTTCCCAAGCACTCAGTGATAATAGTTGTGATGCCAGCTAACAGAAACCCACCTACTGGAGTAAGTGGTGCTGTGCTGATATTTAAGGGCATAACTTGATCTCAGGAGTTAACCCAGACCTGTTATCCATGCTGCTGCTACTGCTGTTAAGTCACTTCAGTCGTGTCCGACTCTGTG